TGTAGTAGAGTATTATGTATGCAGGTTTTCTGGTACCATTGAGTTGCTGCTATGAAAGCTCACACACGAAAAGGCAAGAAGTCACAGTACTAATAAGGAAACTGTATGACTGTGTGGGTTTTGGAATATAACAAATGTATAAAGGGCAACACATAAAGAACTGTTAAACAGTGTTAAGTGTGTGTTTATATGTACAAATGTTTGCATAGATCATTCAGCAGTTGTATTTAATTTGATGTATGTTCTCAACTCACTCTTTAGTTATCTAGCAGTTTTGTACAATAGAATTAATTTGTAAACACTGCCAGAATATTTTCTAGCTGGTTTGTAATTTTTTAAGAGTTTTTTTAGATGTGGATCTGTAAATAAAATTGTAGTATTTAAAGTTTTTGTCTTGTGGAAGAGGAAAGTAAAAGTTGTGTGAGCATGAAGATTTGCGAGACAAAGGGGCACTTTTGCGAGGGAAGAGAAAATGAAGACTAACGCAGACCATCTTTTTTTTGTACAAATTAAACACTTGTCCCAATGTGTGTGGGCAAAATACTAATCTAATTTAGCTTTGCATTGTATGCTAGTTTAAAAAAAAAAACAAACCTCTGTAAAATACTGTAAAAAAAAAAGGAAAAACCAACAAAAAAAGCTTTTATGGTGAGTTTTGTAAATAGATTTACTAAAGGGTGACATGTTCTCTAGCTGTGATCTTACCACTTCAAATGGATGTAATTTGAATAAATTTTGTATGGTAATGAATCAATAAAAATGAAATTTTTTAAAGACTTTAGATTTGTATACAACTATTTAAATTTTTCTTACTCTTGGTGCCTGACATACTGTTTCTTGAAACCTGTTACTGTTTTCGTTATTAGTGCAAATACTCATTTGAGAGATAGTTTCAATCCCGTTTTTTTTATGATGCCAGCAATTTCAGTGGGTTTTTTTAAGCCAGACTGAAACAAAAATAAAAGGCACAGCAGGTGATCCAGAGGTTGGGATTATACAAATTTATTTTTATTTATTCCCTCTCCTCTCATATGAATTATGAACAGACTTCTTGCACACGTGATAGAAATGGTGTTATTGTAGGATTAAATAACATTAAAGTACTTCTTGAGGATCTGCTTAACCTGCCCCAATAATTGTCCAGAACTTTCCTAAAGTAGCTTTGAAAATAAGTGTTTTCTTGAGTCACTTCCAACAGTTCCTTGCACCAGACCTATATTTATGAACTTTTACTTCTTTTCTGGTATTGGTGCTGCACCTTTTCAGATACATGGCCATCCATCAACTGCAAAAAAAAGAAAAAAAGATAATAAAATCACAGTAATACGGTTGATTGCTTAAATGTTGTATCTCTGAGCAAGTCACTTGTGTCTTGTTGACTTCCTGCACACCAGAAGGCTATTACTTTTTCTATGCACCTGTATATATTCATCTGCACACAGCAGTACTGAAAGGAAGATTACTGAAAGGTCCTCTGTATATTCTTAATGAATAATAAAGGAGGGCCAGAAGTCTGTGTTCTGTGATCTCCTTTTGAAGCAGAGGTGGCAATAAATATCTGCTGTACCTCCCTGGCCTGTTCTCAGTTTCTCTGTGCTGCAGTTGCCATAAGCACTTTTTTATTTGCACCTAGAATCTGCTTCTGATTGCTGGTTTTCATGTTACTTTCCCCTCTCCTTCCTTCTGCTTTCTGTATCTGCTTTGCAAACTTGGGATGTGCTGAGGTGCAGGATAAAAAAAAATCAGCCAGTTAAAATACTTATTTCTGCTCCTCCAGGCTAGCACGGTGTACCTCAACGTTATTCAGTGTACACGTATTAGTTCCAGGGAGGTTTTATTGGGGCCTGTATGTGCTGCATTCCTTGGCTGCCAGCAGATGGAAAAGGTTTTGGAAAAATCTGTCAACATAGCCTGAATGATAGGCAACTATTTATTCCTTTACACACAGGAAAGGAGTTTGGAAAAAAAAAAAGGGAGGTTCATGCTCGTGTACAGTAAGAACACATCCACCTACAAATGACCAGAAACAGTAACTATATTCCTTTTTACTTATACCTGAAAGAATAAATTGCACCTTGATCTTGATGCTGACACGATAATTTGTGTTGTAGAAAGAATGCAAGGTATGTGAGGTAGAAGGAAAGAGCTATATGTTTAAAAGCAAAAAAATTAATATATGTCTTTTTTTTTCCCCCGTGTGAAATACAATTGATGCACAATACCATTAGTGTTCCTGCCGCCAACAGTTGTCAACACTGAGTGAGCCGTGAGTCTGAATAGCAAAGTCAGTGAAGTGATATTAACCAAAGCACAAAAAAAGCAGAATTCATCTCCCCACTCTGCTTTTCATGCTGAAGATCTGCCTGGATATTACTCTACAGCTAAGCAATGATCAGAAGAATGCTTGCTTGGCTTTTATTAAGTCTGGGAGTTTCTTTACCCACTATTTTCTTTCTAAAACTTGACAGGAAGAAAATGTCATAAATAACAGGAGAAAATGGGCTGTTACCAGTTCTGAGTGGTGCTGAATGTTGCTCACAAATGACAAACCAGATTCCTCCTAAATTTCAAGAGTGGAGGAAAAAAAGATCTAATTTCTTGTGTCTCTTTTAGGACATTTTTTCTGAATACCTTCCCACCCATTTCCACCCAGATATGATGTTAGTTATCAGAGAATTAGGTTGCCATATAAAAATTGAGCCCTCACCTCCCTGGCCACTTTCCTTCCCTAAGCATGTTTGTTGAGATGCTCTAAACCCACTATGGATGTATCTTCTACTAACCAGGACCTGAGGCTGAGATTTGGATTTAATTTTCCCGGCAGTTTTTGTGTTTTTCCAACCACCTACTACTGGCAAAACCTATAATTTTATTCCCTGGTTCGTAACCCAGCCTGAGGCTGATGTCTTTGAGTCTAGCAGCCCTGAAGAGTAGGAAGTGAGGTCTGCAGGCAACTTGGAAAGGATGAAATTTAAAGCTCTTCACTGGGCACTCAAGGAGCTGGAGCATGTATGCATGCTCCAGTATCTCCAGTATCTCCAGCCCAGAGAAGGCTAGCACTGGAAGTTGTACTCCCAGCCACTGTCACATAAAAGTAGTTTTTCCAGTTTTCTTCCTGCAGTCAGGAGGTAGTGGGGTATTATCTGCTCCCTTTTCTCCCTGCTGTGCTACCTGCTAGGAATGTGCTACAAAGCAATTTAGGTTTGTGAGCTTCCATGGCACTGGGAGAGTGCCTTCCAATTTGTGGCTCCATCCTGGGGCTCACCAGGACCGTGCTGGCACAAGGGCTGCTTGCTGCTGTGAATTCTTGGCAGCAGGACAAGGTAAAGGCTCTGCCAGATCATGCTGGAGCTGATCAGTGTGGCCTATTTCTGTCACTAGGTGTGGGACTCATGGGTTATTCCTGCCTGGGAGCTGCTCTTGGAGATCACTGCCTCCCCTTAAGGAGTAGTGCTTGTCTGTGCTGGCCATTTGGAGACTTTTGGTTATGTCTTGCAGGCTGTGCTCTGCTCTCTTAGCCAGCTGTAAGCCAGCACTGGTGTGTGCCCAGCTGGGTTTTTAAGCAGAGCAGGAGCACTTGGCTGCTGGGGACAGCTGTGAGCGAGGGCACTGCAGGGCTCCCTGAGGAGAGAAGACGAATCCAAGGACTGCATGTGAAACACTCTGAACTGAAAAGAAGGAAAGGAAAGGAATTGCTACCCTTATGAGGCAGCAGTTAAAATGCTCACTGGGGATACAGACACCATTGCTACTGACCTGGCAGGGACTTCTTACTCCAAAGGAGGTGGTCTGAAATAGATCAGCGTGGCCGCCCATTTTGAAATATTTCCCTCCATTCTCTCCTGGCTAAAAATGCCGCGAAAGTAACAAACTACACATCAGACAGTGTCTCACTGAGAGCATCTTTGGAAAGTCCTTGTGTGCCTAAGCAAAGACCAAATAGGAAGGCAAATATATCTTCAACTGTAACAATGACTCTGTCATGAGACCAGGGTGGTATTAATAGTGCTCAGTCCTGCTCAGAATGATTTGTTTTTAAAGACTGATTTAAGTGAAGTGCTTATTTCTTTCTGTCCCAGTTCTCTTCTTTAAATCTCACCTGTTCCTTTGTCCACATTTTCTGGTTTTTTCCTTTTCTTTTTTTTTTTCTTCCTGTGAGCATTGTCAGATAAGCATTATATAAAAGTAAGCATGAGTTTGTAAGAAAAAGGAGAGGGAGATGATATGCTTAATTACAAGTTGCCACATTTTATCTGTGAGTCAACCGACAGGCCTATTATGGAGTACACCCAGGGTTTTCATGCATTTCCCTCCAGTTCCATAGAGGCTACAATCTGCTTTTTTAAGAAAAAACTGATTCCAAAGGCTCCTCCTTCTAAAGAGAGAAACCTAAGGTTTGAAATGCAACTACAGGAAATGGTGACTTTTACATCCCAAAGCTGACTACCTCAAAACAGAATATACTAAAGATACAATATAAATAATTATTTTAGGTTAACTGTGTATATTAAAACCAAAGCAATAATAATATGTTCATTCTTGACAACACTTAGATCAGCAGGGACACTGCACACTTGATCTGCTCAGAGCTTTACCTTCAGCCATCCAAAAACCATAAACATCAAACAGAAGAGTTTGGAAAAAAACAGTGCCAGAAACTTCAGCCATCTGATACTAAATATTTTGACCAATATTTTTTATTGGTAGAAAGCTGCCACTAACATTGTATTTTGAGGAAATAAACAATGAAAAATAAAAATAAGAATAAAAAAGGGCGTTGTGGCCAGAAAAGGATTGAATAGCTCATAACCCATTGGATTAGACACATCAGCATAGTATATATTAGTACATTAGTATAGGCATTGCTGGGATTGCTGTTTTCCAATGAAAACCAAGATGAAATTCCGAGGCTCCGGGAGACCGCGCTCTCAGCGGCGAAGCGGCGGCGCCGCGTCCTCCGGGCTATTGTGGCCCCCGCCGGCCGCCGTCCTGGCGCCGCTGCGCGCGCGAGGCCTCGGGGCGGGGCGCGATGGCGGAGCCCGGGTGAGGCGCGGGTGAGTGTCGGGGTCGGGCCGGGCCCCGGCCCCCTTCCCCCTTCCCCTCCGTCCCTCCCCGCTTCTCCCGTCCTGTCCCGTCCTTCCCTCCCCTGCCTGGCTGTGACAGCCTGGCCGAGCTGCCCGCGCCATGCTCCCGTCCCCTGTGCGGTCCTCCCGGGCTGCGCGTTAAATTCGGGGGGAGGAGACGAACGTCCGGGCGGGAATCTGCGGAGGGGCCGGGATGCGGCTCGGGGATGGTGGGGTGCCCTCGGCGGGCTGGGGGAGCCGAGCCCAGCCGGGCTCCGGGAAGTGCGTGGGCCAGGCTGCCCCTCGCCCCTGGGCCGCTCTTGTGTGTGTGTTTATGTATATATATGTGTGTGTGTGTAGTAGTGTGTGTGTATACATATTTATGTGTATGAGGAGAGACTGCGGGAACCAGGTCTGTTTAGTCTGGAGAACAGAATACTGAGCGGGGATCTCATGAATGCCTATAAATGTCTCAGAGGCGGTGCCGGACTCTTCAGGTGCCCAGTGACAGGACGAGGAGCAGCGGCCATGAACTAAAAGGCAGGAAGTTTCGCTTTAACGGGAAGAAGAACTTTACAGTGAGGGTGGCCGGGCACTGGAACAGGCTGCCCAGGGAGCTTGTGGCGTCAAAACCCACGTGGGGACATTCCCTTGTAACCTGCTCCAGGTGGCCCGGCCGTGGCAGGGCTGGATGATCTCTGGAGCTCTCTTCCAACGCCAACAATTCCATCGTTCTGTGATATGTACATATATATGGACACACACACATAAAACATACGTATATGCTCCAAACTCAGTCTCTGTGTATTAACGCCGCAGTTTTCTTCTGCTCTGTGTGGGGCCGGGAATAAAATCCCGGGGCTTTACCGGAGACACGTGTTGGTAAATAGCTGAAAAGAGCAGCCCTTTTCCACCTGCATGGGAGTTCCCCGTTTGAATGTGCGAGGAGATTGAGCAGGGGTGGCCAAACCAGACTGGCACACTGGAAGTTTTGGTTGTGACAAGATGTTAAAACAACTCTAGTTTTTTAATTGCTCTAATGTTGCTCTAAATTAATGTTTTTTAAAAGAAAAATGTGGAGTTCTGTAGGTGCAGCTGGGCTGTATGAGAAGAATACATTAACTTCTAATTTTGTTATCACGTCTTATTTCAGTCCCTCTACCAGAATAGCTGCAGGAATTTGTCTTTATTTTTGTTTTTTCGTTGTGAAGGAGATCTCATGCATGCATATGGAACTAGTGCAGATATCAAGTAATCTGTTTTAACATAAGTTCCACAGTGTTTTAATTTAAAAAAAAAGTGAATGACTTGAACTAAAATTTGCTGTTAATCTTTCTCCCTTCTTTCGTTCAAAATTTTAAACTGGTTGAAGACAGAATCTGGAGGAAGTCTGAGATAACTTAAGTGCATCTGACTTAGACAGAAGAAGGATAAAAAGAACAGTGCCGCTGCTCAGGAGACAGGGAAAACGTGGGACCTCTTCCACCTTGCCAGCCAGCCAGTGTGTACCAGCTCCACATGAGGTCAAACTGAGCAAGGAATGTATTTCTGCAAAGGGAGGATGAGTGCTTGTTGGACAATAACATGAATTCATGGCTTTCTGTCTGCTAGTTCTGCTTTTTCATGCCATATCTTTTTTCCTTTTCCTCTTCCTTATACCCCCCACCCCTCAGGTTTACTGTCCAAGAGGATTTATACCTTGCTTAAAAAGGTAGGAATTTTAGTTTGGCTGTGTTCTTTGTTCCATGGGTCACTGAAATAAGCTAAGCTTATTTGTTTTTCCAGCTGTTCCATTATATTGGGTATTTTTTTGTAAGAGAGGAAAAAATGACAAATCAAAACTTTATTCCCTTCCAGATATTGATTTGAACTTTACTTATTTGTACATATTCTCAGTGGTATAAGTTAGACATAAGAGATGCCACTTTTCTCTCATATTCTTTATTGCTAGACTTTTCACAAATGTTTATTTTCATCTTTTGCTGCACTATTGTATAGATCCTGGTTTTTTTTTTTTTATCTAGAAGAATGCTAACTGCCAGCCTGGGCAGATGCATCCTCTTTGTGACATCATTCTGTTCCTTTTGGAGTTAAATGCAGATGTGTGATGGTTCGGCTTACGTGAAGTTTTATTTTGAAGTATATTTTGCAAGATTGACTGGAAAGTGCATGGGTGTTCAACTTTTTATGTTCTTCAATAATTCATTTGCAACATCTGGAAGTGTTTTTATGCCAGTAGCAAATCTTCAGTTACTGAAGTATAAGTTTAAAGACATTAAAGCCTTGGTTTTTTGTTCTTCATGGTCACTTAGGAAAGTGTTGTATTTTCCCTATAAACTGTGAAATACCCTTGTATGATTTCCTTAGTAGGCTGTTGGTTTATGTAAAACACCTGAGTTTCCAATGGCACTTCAGACTTTATTCTAACTGGGAGTTACAGCACAGTGTGGTGTGTAATTAAGCAGTAGCTTTTTTTACAGACTTTTCTAGCAAATGGCTTTTTTTTTGATTCCTGAAAACTGATCTGGATTTTTGCATCTGCTGGGAGATACGTATACATATATCTTCAGTTTCTCGTGAAAAATATAATTAGATATTAGCAATCTTTTAATATATTATTCTAGCCAGATTATAGTATATATGTATTTTATTAGTTAGGTATAGTTGTTTAACATTCTGTACCTGAAAACAGAAATTTTTATTTTACTGTCCCAGTGAATGAGCTAATTCAGATGAAAGCCATGTGGGATCAGGAATTCTAGGAATAGTTTGGTTTGTTTTCAGAAGGACTGTGCAAACATACTCGGTTAGTGTCCACACACAGAGCCAGAATGGGCTCTGGAGCAGTCACTTGGGTTCTGTGTCTTTTGTTCTTTTTTCTGTGATGTGAGTGGAAGTACATCCATCATGTGACAGGAGCTCACTATTTTATTAGGATGCTGACATGATGAAAAATACCTGTATGTGTTGTGTCAGAGGAGGTGAAGGGGGTTTGAGTTAGGAGATGACAAGGGACAGATGATTTATAAATAAGCTCTGAAGAATGTGTATGGTTTGTGACTTTCTCCCTGCCTGTGTTTGAGGTACTGGGGGAAGAGGGCATTCAGGAAATGTCTCCGGTAGTGAATTGTTTCTGTGTACTCAGTATCCCTCATGTACGTGATACATTGCACATATCCTTAGGGATACATCTGACTTTTCCGTATGGGAAATGTGCAGTAGGTACAAGGCCTTGGTTTGGTATTCAAATGCTTTCCTAATGCCAGTCTTCTCCCAACACTTCTTGAAGATGCCTGCTGCCTGTGAGTCAGTGCTTGAGGATATTGAAGACATTGTGTCAGCAGAGGATTTGAAGCCGCACGACCGGCAGTTTGTGAGAAGGAATGTTTTTCCCAAAGTGCGAAAGCGCAACTCCCAGAAGAACGCTCAGACAGATGATGAGCCACCAAGTGACAGGTAAAGTCTTACACTGACCCCGAGTTGGTGCTTTTCTTGTGTCTCCTATGCACTTGTCAGATTTTAAAAATAAGGTGAAAATTTGTGCTATATGTTAATGTGAAATCTGTGTACAAGATAAAAGTGAGTAAAATAGTCTGCATAGAATGTAGAGAGAATAAATGATAAATCTTAAGCAAATTCCTTTTCCTAGACAGATTTTCTGTGGAAATCAGTTATTGCTGAGATGTTGATGAATGGAATAATCAGACTGGAAACATGGTTTCTGTTATGCTTTTATGTGTAAAGGATTTCTGAAAAATTGTCTGTTTAATCTTAATTACCTAAATATAATCTGAGCTTTTCAAAATGCAGTTCTGGAGTAGCCTTTTGACTTGTGAAATGAGTAATAGGAACAAAATCCTGAGAGGTGCAAAAAGGTTGGGGTTGGAAGGTCATCTTTTCCAAACCCTCTGCTTGAGCACTGCCACAAAAAAGCAGTTGGCAGGACTCTTGACCAGGTAGTTTTTGAGTATTTCCAGGAGATGGAGATTCTGCAGTCTCCCCGAGTAACCTGTGCCAGTTCTTGGTCATTTTTAGAGTGAAAAAGGTGCTAAGAGGGAACTTCCCATGTTTCAGTTTGTGCCGGTTGCCTCTGGTCCTGTCATTGGGCACCACTGAAAAAAAATCCTGGCTGTGCCTTCTTTGCACTCTCCCTTTAGGTATTTATGTACTTTGATGAGATCATCCTGAGCCTTCTCCAGGCAGAGCAGTCCCAGCACTCTGAGCTGTTTCTGTTACGAGCCGTGTTCCAGTCCCTTCATGATCTTTATGGCCCTTTGCTGGACTGTCTCCAGTACATCCCTGTCTCTGTTGTGGGTGCATCCTGCCAGGGCCCAGGGACTTGTGTATGCTCAGTGGGCTGAACTGTGCATTCTCTGACCCAGTCTCCTTTCATGAAGGGTACATCAGCCTTGCTTCAGTCTTTAAACCCATTTTCTGCATCCTGGGATGTGGAGAGGCTGTACTTGTGTGTGCATCCTGCAAGTGACATAGGAAAATTCCTTTTGAACTTGCTGTTTTATTTCAGTGGAAATAGTATGCAGTAAGCACAAAATGGATCTTTATGTTTTTCCTACTTGTGATTTCCAGAAGAACAGAATCAACTTTTTGCTGCAGTGGAATTGATTAGAGTATAGGTCAGCTCAGTTATTGATTTTAGTTTCTACTGCAGGTCTGAGATCTATGTTTTTTTCTTTTTTTTTTTTTTCCAAACATTAGTTTCAAGTTGGTGCATAAAATTTCCCTAGATGATAAAAATGAAAACAAATTGCGTATGAAAATTTGATTTCGTGTGGAGAAATAAAATTCTGGGTTTTCACTGATGTTGAAAAGAGATTTTTATAAGCATAACAATGCATTTTTATCTGCATGCCCCTAAAGGTGCATTGGCCCCAGTCTGCCAGGAGTGTATGGACAGCTGAGCTGTTGCTCTGTAGATACTTCACACAAGTAGTTCATGCCCTAAAGTGTTCAGGTACTATATATTCTCTAGCAGGCTGTGTTTCAGTGTTTTGTACCCAAGAAAGCACATTGAACATGTGTTGTTTAGACAGCAGGAAGTCTAAATACCCTGTGTTTGCAGTTAATGATCATTAATGTTCCATCAACAAATTTCTATTTTTAGCTAGGGGAAGTGTCTGTTAAAAAAGAAGCGTGGAGGGGGAGGGGGAGAAAAAAAAAAGCTGTAGGCAGGGCGCAGTATTGTGTTCCAGGATGTGTGGTGTTCTTGTACTGGCATCTTTAGCTCATTGGCAGTTATCCCAGGAATTTAAATGAGAGCTTCTTACAGAACTTTTTGTTGGTTTTTGGAGCCTTGTATGTGCTAGCTGCACACTGCCTGTCTGCCATGCTGCTTCTGTAGCCCGGAAAGGTTGGGATGGGGCTTTCTGCTGTTGGTGTGGCTGGTGGCCATCAAGTTAATTTATAGAGCTGGCTTGTGTTGAGGGAACTGTATGCATGTTGTAATATCAAAAGGTTGCAGTTTGTTTGCTGGTGGCCTAATTTCAGTGCTGTCACTTGAAGGTTACTTGTTACATGGTACGATAATTTTGAGAACTTTGGGGGAGTTTAAATTTGGGATTTTTTTTGTGTTTGTGTGTTTTGTTGGGGTTTTTGTTATTGCTTTAACATAACTGCAATGCACTGATTCTGTTGTTACCCTACAGCTCCTGCACCTTCTCCACGCTGAAACTCTTTTCTCTCTCTCTTCTTGCTAGTTGTGGTGGATTGACTCTACCACAAGGGAGAGAACTGGAAGAGTGAAAGTGAGAAAACTTGTGGGTTGAGATGAAGACAGATAAAGTGAAGGAAGGAAGGAGCAGGGAAAAACCCCAAGTGATGCAAAAGCAGCCATTCGCCACCTCCCACAAGCAGACTGGTACCCAACCAGTCTCAGAAGAGTGGTTATTTTGGAAAGACCAAAGGCACAGCTTTTATTGCTGAACATGATGTCATCTGAAATGAATTATCCTGTTGGTCAGCTATTCTGCTCATGTTCCTCCCAACCTGCTGTCCATCTGCAGCCTGCTTGTGGCGGGATGGAGCACAGTGGGAAACAAGCAAGCACTGTTCAATGACAGCTGAAACCACCGGTGTGTTAACACTGTTCCGGTCACAAACACAAAACACAGCCCTACAGTGGTTTTTGTTACTCTATCCCAGCAAGGCCTAATACCCATTACACTAAAATCACATCATTACTGTTTTTCCTCAGCTGTTTTGGAGTCGTTACTGTTTGCATTGCTTATTTCATGTTTGAAGAATTACAATTCATTCAGTCAGTTCAGTGGGCTTAACAGGGAAGCTTGTTCATCATTTAACTTGCATTTCTCATTTGTTTTTACTTGACAGCATTATTCCTGGTGTTCAGAAAATCTGGATTCGTACGTGGGGATGTTCTCACAATAATTCAGATGGTGAATACATGGCTGGACAGCTGGCTGCATATGGATACAAAATTACAGGTAACAGTATGAGTGAGTCCTGTAATTCAGCTTTTCTGGGGTGAATGTTCAGAGCTGTCAAGCTGTCATCAAATGTTTTCAGTCTTAATTATGCTTTTAAAAATCCCCTTCTGATCCCTTTCTGATCTGAAGGTGAGGAGGTAAAGTGTTTTCCTGGCATTAAGCAGAATGATTACCAGATGAATGCTTTCATTTCAGAATGGTTAGATTTTGTTGACAGGGCCTTTTTTTCACATTTTACTTGCTAAACTGAATTGAAAAGTTTTCGTAATAGTGGATGGGAAATATATTAATTCTTGGTTTTTATTTGTAATTGGTGGAACCCAAGGGAAAGAGGGAGAGAGGCAGTGTTTTCACTTGGTGATGTGTGTGTTTGCATTGGAGTAGAGGTGCTCTACTCCAGGTAAACGTTCTTTCAGGAGAGATGATCAGTGTGATAGAGGTGGGATGATAACAGGATTGTACCTCATAGGTCCCAAAGAGCTGAGAATGCTATTTCTCTTTCCCTTACAAGTATTTTAAAATCTCTCCCTCATCTTGTTCTGCTTTCCCAAGCCTAAAAATACCTCCAAACTTTTGCTTATGCTGACCACATTTCATCTCCTTAATGAAAAATATGCTGACAGAAAGGTTGAAAAATTGGATTAATACCATGTTTCAATATACAAGTATTATCTGAATATTTTTGTATAGCTTTTGACTAGTTAAAATAGAAACTTAAATTTTATTAATTAATTCAAGTTCAGGTGTGTTTTGTACCTACACTTGTATACTGAAAGACTACAAAGTTGTCTGTCCTGACATTTTTCTAAAAACAATCCTGATTTCACAGAATGATTTCCTGATTTTCACATGAATGTGTCATGATACCATTAAACAGTTGCATTTAATTTTCCTTTATTGCTGCTGATCTTTCTTACTTAGAAATATATCTTCTTAGAAATAAGACACTGAACTATTAAAGTGCTGAACTTCTTTAGGGAACCCAGGTGATTATTTAAGTAGCAGTACAGCTCTGGAGTAGGTATGCTCTTTCCACAGAGTGGAAGTGGAGTGCTGGTCCAAAACCCCTTATTTGTGGCAGCTGTTTGTATAAGATTGCAAATATGTTCTCATTATGGCTTTTTAAAATTTAATTCCTCTTTACCTTTGTCATTCTAATACATATTATTCCAGAAGCTGCTTTTGGCTTGTCAAGATTCAGATGGCTGTGCTGTGCTTTTGGAATTTTACTAGGAGAGATGTAGGGAGGATGGGAGTGCAGTGAAGGAACGAACTATGTTAAATTTTTGATACCTTATATTTTTAGCAAATTAACTCTTAATAACATTAGAATAGAAATAAGTCTACATCTAGAATCTGAAACTGAGAACTAAAAACCTAATAAAAGTTGCAGTTGCTGAGAGAGTAATTTTGGTAGTTTTATGTGAAACTGACCGCTACTTTCTAGTGTTATTAAATCTAAGTCTTGATTTAGTTCATGTTAATGTGTGTACGTACATTAAATGGAACAAACAAAGAAGCCTCAATGCTAGGCGATAGGCAGAAATTACACAGTGGAGTTTCTTCTTTTGAAATTAAGTAATTCTTGTCAATCTCTTCTTAAGAAGGCATGTTTGGCTTTTTTTGTATTTAGTCATCTGGGAAGTTCAGACAGGATGTTAAATAGGGATTTAATCTTTTTGTCCTGTACAGTGAAGCAGCTACTCAGTAACTGTTGCTTAAATGATCCAAATGTCAAACATTTCTTGAAATTAAACTTAATATTGTTTATGGTATGCAAAATTAAGAAGAAAATATTTTGTAAGAGGTATTTTGTAAATCAATCCCTGTGTTGCCAGAATTTGTTAGTTTTATGTAAAACTGTTATAATCTTGGGGAAAAGATAGAAATACTCACTAAGATGAAAGATTGGCTGTTGTCACAGTGTCTTGGACAGCCATGAATTGAAAGTGTTTGGATTAACCTATTCCCTACATGTTCCTAAGCTTTTGAGACAACATTTCCTGAAAAGATGCTGGAATAAAGTTCTGGCTTTAGAAAATAAGATGTAAGCTTTACTTGCAGTTTTTACTCCATTATGAAGGAGTCAAGCACTGTTTCTGGTGTCTTCTGTCTAATTGCAAGATTGGAAAAAAATATAGAGGGAAGAAAAGCAGCATCAGACAGATTCCTGTTGCTAACTGGCAGTTGTAACAATGCAACCTGCCTTACAGGTTGACTTATCTGGAACTGAACGTGGATATAATGTCCTCCTTGCTTTTCATGTGCTTCAAAAATGTTCTTTCTGTACAAGCCTCCTTTGTTGCTTCCAGGAGTGTCTGTATCCAAAGGTGAAAACTGAGGGCTGTACTTTTCACAGCAAAGATTGCCTCTGTCTGGGGAGAGACCAGAGTGTGAATCAGCAGTATACATATACTGCAGTAACAGCAATGATGATTAAAGTCAGGGACTGCATCAGCTTAAAAATAGGCAGAGGGAAACCAGCAGAAGAGCTGAACCTATTTTTGTATCTGCTTTTACAGTGTGAAGGTGGGCAGCATTCTGAACAAATCTTGCATACCATCCTATGGGAACACAAAGCTCTTTTATAAGCCTGAGCCACACAGAAATGTATGGACCAGCTGCTGTCAATGTAGGGCTGTACCATGGGTAGTTGTTCATATTCTGAAAACGGTGTAGCTGATGGTGGCTTTACTGGTTCTAAAACTGGTTTTGGTTTCTTGGCAGCATGACTTGCTGTATAGTTTAGACATGCCTGCAGACCTGCTGGAGTGCTCCCTGTGAGATACGCCCTGGAGGAAGAAACTCTCATGGTACAGACTGCCTGTAATGCCTGCTGTGGAAAACAGGAAGTGGGCGAGCTGGGAGCTTTCAAATATTGTGAGCAAGATTTTTGTTTGGAAGGGACTTAAGTATGTTTGCCATGTAGCTCGCTTTCTCTCTGAAAAATGGAACTACACATGTGTAGTCAGACATAGAATGCTTTGACTTCTCAAGTGGGCAGTTCTATTCACTTATGTTGACATCTCTGTGTTTCCAGTTCTGTGGAATTAATGGGTTTTGGCCCAGCTTTGAATGCATTTTGGTGGACCAAGACATTAAGTATGCTTGTTATTTCCTACAGGTTGCTTCTGGCTCAGGGCTGTTGAGGTCCAAAGCATTCCCTCCTCAGCCATTGTAAAACATGCTGGGGGTAGGAAAGGCATTGCTAGTAACTTAGAAATACTAGAAAAATGAGCACTAACGTTTTCTTTGATGGAGACAAAGTAAAAACTGCTATTAAACATTCAGTAAGGCTAAACCAGTCAAAGTTTATCTACACTACATTTTCATGGATTTTAGAAATAAATGCTGGCACAGAACATACTCCTCATCTAGCATGGGATTCTACAAACAAGAATTGTTTCTGCTAAGTCAGTGGGCTAAGCTTTGATGAAGCACTTAGAAAGTGGGTTATGTTACAGACCTTTAGCTTTACTTGTGCAGTTTTAAACCAATCTGAAATTAGTTCAGGCATCCTATTCACTGTCTCAGAGATTTCTTCTCCAAGTGTGTTGGATGCAAAGTTGCTGGCTGTGTAGAGTTCACTCCATTATTGTGTTTAGTTGGCAGGACTTGGATCAGTGAGACTTGCCAATTCTTACTGTTCATAGTCCAAGTTATATGTCTTACACCTCTGTAACTCCCTATGCAGAGAATTTAAGTATTTCTCTAAAGCAAGTACCGAATAATATTTTGAAATCCTGTTAAAGAAATTATCTGGGGTTTTTTGCCTCTTCTACTTGTTAATTTTCTAAACACTTGTCAGTTTTGCTTACCAGTGGATATAACTGAGGTATCATTAAGACTCTCCATCTGCTTAAACAACACATTTGAGTAGAAGAAAGAAGGAAGAAGACAAGGAAGAAGGAATGATCTCCTTAAGACCTCATGTTAAAAGAAGACAGGTGTAAAAGGAAAGAGTCTGCTGTTGAAAAGCAGATGAGGTGCTGCAATCTAAAATGGACTTCAGCGTTTAATGGCATTGTCTCGTGTTCATTGTGTTGCATAAGCCATGCTTGTCTAGACTTTGGCCATCCCCATACAGATGCAGCAAAGTGTGCTGCAGCATGAATTTTATTTTATTCATCCAAGTGCAAAATAAAGAAAATTACTAAGACTGTACAGGTATTGATTCCTGGCTTGTGAATCACTTCAGTATCTGGTCCTTTGTTTCAAGTGTTGTCTTAAAAGTACTTTTGCACTACACAATAAAATTTTAATACTAGATTTTGATTTATTTTATTGTTTTAAAGTAGAGATCTCTTTAATAGGCTACTGTATCATTAAAATAAGCTCTCTGCAGCCTGCATTGTGGTTGATGAAGTATTTTGACTAAGATCTCTGCTGGTTTCCAGTGTATGCTTTTAGTTGCTCAGAATCAGCAGTTGGTCTTTCCATTTTTTGCTCTCCACCCTGCTGATAATGCTCATCTGTTCCTTCATAAGTATCATGTAAAATTGTAGTGACTACTGTGTAATTTTTGGGGTGAGCCATCCTCATTGTGAGGTATTTTTAGTATTCTTTATTAAGCTAAAAGACAAATCTTTATTAGCTGCTCATGAAGTGCCTTATTAGTCAGAGAATTCAAGCTTAGTCCTTGTGTTTGGATTTGTACTTTTCAAATGGTTGTGAGTTCCAATTTAGAAAGAAAAGATAATTTGCAATCCTTTCTTGAGGGGCAGGGTATGCATGGTGTGTGCTTAAATAAGCAAAATACCCCCCCCCCCCCCCCCCCACTTTCTGTTGATGAGAAGTGTTTCTGTTTTCTCTACAACACTGCAGTCATGAAACTGTCTCTGAAGCAGCTGAGTAATGGAGAGAAGTGAGCAGAGATGTAAATTCTGGTGTTTTGTACCCTCACTGAAGAATTTTCCCATTGTCTGTAACTTGTAGAGTCACAGGCCTGTATGATTTTTGCATTGCTTGATAACCTTACCAGCATACCTGTTCTGGCA